TCGTAGTACAAGCGTAGCGCGTAGCCACCGCTAGCGCGGGAACTCGGCTGGCAAACTCGCGCTCTGATTGGTCGCGGTTTTTCGTTAATATCTCGTAAACGAAGCCTCAGTTTAAATTTTTGCTAAGGAAAAAGTTGTTCCAATTCACCCCCCGAGTACCACATTTCCGGGTCGGAGGACATTTTTGGGACACCCTGTATATGAGTATATAGGATGTTTCGTTTAACTGGAAACGGTGGAATATCTCACGAAGGCTTAAAGTTATCAAAAAAATGTTCATACAAAAATTGTTTGGTACAAAGGGGGACATTACGTGGTATAAATAATTTTTCTGTAAGTGGTGTAGTGAGGGAGATATCAAAGTCAAGTTAATTTTTTTAAATGGAACTCTGTATTTTTTATTCATATTATGATAGTGTTTGTTGAGACGAATACAACGAACTGCCACATGGTATCATTCCGAGTTGTAAAATATCATAAATTAAATACAAAGTAGTCAGATCAAGACGGATCGTGTGTCGTCGGTCAGCTAAACTCTACGTGACTGTGCCATCTACTCGTATCAGACCGATTGTTCCGTTTTTAATAAAATATTCCTGGTATGGAAACAACACCAATATTGTAGCAAATATGAGGAGTTAAGCATAAGTAATGGATTTTAAATTTCACTTACCGGTATCTAACTTGTAGTATCAAAAATTAATTAATAATTTTTTACGTCATTTATCAACATGCCCACCATCGTTACAAATACACATTTCTATTCTGTTTAAAAATTCTCTTTCGACACTTTTCAACATCTTGTCCGTTATTCTTTCGCATGCGACTATAATCCTGTTTCGTAAATCATCGACATTTTCAACCGATGTTTGGAAAACTGACTGCTTTAGATACCCCCATAGGAAAAAGTCACATGAAAAAAGATCTGGTGATCTTGGTGGCCATGTAACTGGACCGCCACGTCCTATCCACTTGTTGCGAAAATTGTTATTCAGCCAATTACGAACTGATATGGCGTAATGAGGAGGGGCACCATCATGTTGAAACCAGACATTTCGTCTTAACATCATTGGCATGTCATCCAAAATATTTAAAAAAAGTGTTTGCTTGACTTTGATATCTCCCCCACTACTACACTTACAGAAAAATTATTTATACCACATAATGTCCCGCTTTGTATCAAACAACTTTTGTACGAACATTTTTTTTATAACTTTAATCCTTCGTGAGATATTCCACCGTTTCCAGTTAAACGAAACACCCTGTTATTACTGTAAAAACATAAATCTAGTCACTAAACTTTCATTAAGAAATTTGCATTTGTTAACATTGTTTAAGATTCTTAAGTTTTTCCAACTACAATTTTCAACCAAACAATTGGAGAAAATGCTGTAATAGGTGACCCGGTATTTGCAATGTGTGAGACTTTTTTCACGATTTTTGCGTGTTTCTGAATAGGGAAATGCAGCGAAAACAATTTTTCTTCGTACGTCATGTCGCGATACGAATTATGTGTTATTAAATATTGTCTGATTTATGTTGGGTTTGGACTTATTTTCATCAGGAGAATCTCCAACATTTATTCATAACATTTTTAAGAAAGTACACTGAAAGAAGTAAAAGTTTAAATTTTTACTCATGGGTGATTCGTTCTGTGTGTTACATTGTAACCCGAGCGTCTGTCGGCGGCGGCTCATAGAGTATCAGATAACAACTCTACTCGCTGAGGCTTGGCTGGGCAGAGTCTCGTCTCCGCTGATACGTCATAAACCTGTCATTCCGGCTCGTTCAAGCCGGCCAAGCTAAGCCGGAGCTTCGTGAGTAGAGATGGCGTGAACTGTTACTTGTGAATCATGAGTGATTCGATCACGTTCATTCCCAATCACGGTGAGTTTTCACAGTGATTCGTGATCGTTTCTAATTGTTTCTGATTCGTGGAGAAACATAACAGTTTTTTACATGCGACACATAACCTGTATATTTTATATTAACGACATCGAAAGAAAAATTCGAGTTATATAGTATAATGTGAAGGAATAATTAGGAACAATGAAGAATAATGAATAAATTAATGATTGTAACTTATAATCTACATGTTACCTATCATTCTTTTAGAGTTTCTTGTTTTCTCTACCGCTTTTTAAAAACACAAGTAGTAATGTGATTCATCGTAAAATCATATTGAATACGTTTTTCTGTTTAAAGATCAAGGACTTACGATCGCAGTCAGCAAATTCACTGAAGATAAAAAAATCGCAATCACGGTCGTGAATGAAGTTAAATCACGACCGTGATCGTGATTCGGCGATCACTGTGATAAATCACCATTAATGATTTTGCAAGCCATCTCTAGAGGTCAGCGAGATTAACCTTCCATGGTCGGAGCCAGAGTCACACGTCATGCGCTCGCGAGAGCACTACGCACACAGTGATGGAACTGTTGTGTAATTCGGGAACTGATCGACGTGTGACATTCTATAAAAACGGCTAGGCTAAGACGCCGTAGAAGTATTGACTTACGACTTCGGCTCACTCTGTTTCTTTTTTTACTCGCTGTCCTTTCTTCTAATCGACAAAACTTCTACAGTGTCGGTAAGGGCCTCGAGCTTGAGGCTCGAGCCACCGTGACTTTAGTTAGTAACCTATTGATGTGAGTCAGATATGATCCAGCCTCGGACGATCGCGAGTCTAGTACTCGTAGGGTTAAGGGATAAGCTACCACCAGAACTTAGGGAATGGTCAGGAATGGTTAATAAAATTGGGAGAGGGTACGGAATTAGAATGGCAAATTGAAAAGATGTTGAAAGCGGAAATAATAAGGGAAATGTGTGAAATTAGCAAAGTGTACAAAAACTGAAACGCGAATATAGAGATAATGATAGAAATGGAAGAAAACTGATTAGCGAGAAGGATAATATACTTAGTCTAATGTGAAGAAAAGAATATAAGATTCTCTGATAACCAGTTGTGTACAAGTTTCGAGCAAATTGCCAGCAAATAAAGACAAAAGTTGTCTAAAAACCATAGCCATCTGTTTATGCACTTAGCTTGGGTTTTGCAGATAATGCCTGCTGACAAAATGGTAAAGCAAATTGGCAGCAAGTCTTGCAACTGTGTAAAATTGGGTGCAAAAACGGAACAGAGTCTGCGTAAGCCAATTTGTTGTCTATGTTGCTGCCAATGTGCGCGCAAATTGTTTATAAGCAAATCTTGCATGAAACTTGTAGCCATAACCTTGTAACAGACATTGGACAAAATTTTTCTGTGCAGGTGTAGCTGACTACTGGGCATTGTATTCTTAATATTATTTTCAAATAGAAATTAAATCTTGAAGATTTAATATTTGAAATACATATTTTTACCATTCTCGGCGAATGTGTCCTGATGCATCTACATGGTACCGGATATCATCAACAACAATCCTACTTTGCGTTGCATTTGATAATTCTGAGACAATTTCATCGCGCTCACGATTTACTTCTTCAGGTGGCCGTGACAAGATAACTCTTATTAATTGAGAAGGCTCAAATACCCAAACCTTTATAAGAATAAAGAATAAGTTACAGCTAAGAAATAATTAGATACATCTAAAATATATTTTTCTGTTAACTTTTTAACTCCCCTACCCGAGTTAAGTCGGGTTTAAGAAAACGATTTTTTTCCGCGCGGCTGAGTTAACTCGTGAGACCTGCAGTTTTGGTTTTCTATATAAATACAACCGAATATACTCGTTAAACAGTGTTGTGCTTATTTCCTCTCACCCGAAAAAAGTTGCCACCGGTGATTGTCAGCTGATTCTGTGAATGTCATCTCTTTTTTGTGCAATCACGCATTACTTCAGTATCGCCGTTAGCATCGAGGTCGTTTATATTTTTTAACACTTATTTGTTTTCTATTACCGAACATGGAAAGTGATCACGACTTACTATTTAGTTCAGAAGATGAAGCTTTAGAACACAGTGGCAGTGATTCAGAGATTGATTTTTTTTATCCTTTTCAAGTTTTTTTTTGTTGCCCGAGTTAACTCGGTTAAGCGAAGTAGGTGCAATTACCTACCTTAGTCTTTTTTTTTGCATAAAACATTTTTTGTTTCAAGATTTGTTAATATTATTTTGTATTTTAAGAAAATAGAGAATAAAAAAATTGGTGGAAAAACGACCGCTTTGAAATTTTTAATTGGTGCGTTAAGGGGTTAACAATACAAAAAATACTTCGGAAAGTTGTTAGTAAATCAATATGAGATAAGAGTCATTCTTGTTTGTTTTATGGTAAAAATGACCTCTTTAAGTGTTATGGATGTGTACAGAGTCTATTGATATGTTTTTTCAGATAATGTGTATCTACATAAAAATTAGATAATGACATATTTCTAACTTGTATTTTTTTTGTTGCAAATCAATTGAGATGTTCTTTTAATGTAATTATAATATGTATATGTATAGACGTACAGACTTAATAGCGGTATAATTTTGATACTGTTGTTATGCCCAAGGAATTAAAGCCGGTATGATTTTTATACCGGTACTATGTCAGCAAAACAATACCGAAACCGAAATAAATACCGATATTTTATAAACAACAAATAATAACGTATTAAAAGACCAAAAACTAACACTAACCCTAATGAACTAAAAATAAATTAACAAATTAATAGTATACTAATAAAGTTCACAACACTGTCTCTGCTGCTACTATGTATTCGCTCAATGCTCGGGGCATCAGACTAACCAGCGTCCACGCTTCGCCACCGATCTCGACGACAAATTTTAATTTGTTTATATTCCACGTCCATGTTATGCTGGGCCTTCCTGCTCTCTTTCTAACGTAAGACAGACAACATAGGGCGGCTAGTTGATGTTGCGATGTTTGGCGTTTGAGATCGACGTGTCGTTCCGATGACTATAACTTTTGTAACATTGTATTCTTTTACACTCGCGATCACACTATACATATTACTAGAAAAATCCTGCTACATGATTACTTTGATTTCGGTATTATATCAGTTTCGGTATAACTTTGCTACCATAATACCGGTAAGAAAATGATATCGGTTTAAAATAACTTCTTACAAATATCTTAAAAATCATAATAAAATAGGAAACCGAACAAATTACCAATAAATATTGGTAAATTACCGGCATTTTCATATTTCGGTTTCTATAAGGTACAATACCGGTATTTCACGTTTCGGTAGATGTCCCTGTAGACATAATGTGACATCCCTGATAGCCAGTTGTGTACAAGTGCCGAGCAAATTGCCAGCAATAAATGACAAAAGTTGTCTCAAAAACCATAGCCATCTGTTTCCGCATTTGACTTGGGTTTTGCAGGCAACGCCAGCTGACAAAATGGTAAAGCAAATTGAAAGTCTTGCAACATGTTCTACGTCAAATTGAGGGCAAAACCAGAACAGGGTTTGCGCGAGCCAATTTGCTGCATATATTGCTGCCAATTTGTTGCCTATCTTGTTGCCAATGTGCGCGTAAGTTATTTATAGCAAATATTGCATCAAACTTGTAGCCATAACTTTATAACATGCATTGGGCAAAATTTGGCTTTGCAGGTTTGGCTAACGGGGATGTAACAAAATAGTAGTAATATAGATACAGATTAATAAAAAAATCTGTACAGCTTTGCGTTACCAATAATAATAAAACATCTTGTCATGGTGTTATGGTACTATGCAGATATAAAGTCACAAATTTCATAACTAGTAATGTATACACTAAAACCCTTAAAGTTGAAATCAGCTTTTTAGGTAAAATAGTTCTTGCAACCTTTTTTATACTCTCCGTTTTGAAAGTAAAAAACTTACATGAACTCTGGTCATTGCATATCTTTCTGGAATAGCAGTTTCCTTCGCTATTACTTCAACAATAAATCTGTCCTGATTATATTCAGCCATGTATCCACTTGTCACTAGTTTACCATCCTGAGTCACATTGAAAGGACTTGGTACTATGGAACCACTAGGTTTCTCTGATCCATATTTATAAAGATTTGCACCGGCAACGTAATAATGAAGCGTACCATTGTCACCAACGTCTAGATCTGACGCAGTTACTTTTGTGACGAAATCGTTCACATTGGCCATTGAATTAACACCAGCGTAGTAGACATTCCGCTCAAAAATTGGTGAGTTATCATTTTCATCTAGAATGGTTATAGTTACATTAACATGTCCGTGATTTGTACTTTTCGCCACGGGACGCCCTGAGTCCACTGGATTTATGTAAATATCAGGATCATTGGTGGCCAGAATTGACAAAACATATTTATCTTGGGTTTCACGATCAAATGATTTATTTGCATAAATACTGCCGTCGGTTTTGTCCATGTAAAAAGTATAGCCTTCGTTTCCTTAAACATATTATTATGATGCCTTTATTGTGTGATAATAATACTGTATAAACAAGAATTAATGTTTTGTGTTCCATTAATCGATAAATTCACATAATAATATGTGCTTGTAACAATGAACAATTTTTGAAATTTCCTTTTTTATGAATAGCTTTGAATCAAGTTTCATAGTATTATAACACTTTTCTTAAACTCATGCCACTTACCAGCTTCTATGTAGTAGTAAACTTTTGCATGCGTGCCTTCATCTTTATCTTCCGCAGTTACTTTTCCTACAAAGTAATCCTTTGGACGATTTTCTGATAATTGGAAATGATACTCATTGTAAAATTCTGGCGTGTTATCGTTTGTGTCGACTAATTGTACAGTAAGCAGCCGTAGAGTTTCATATGCTGTAGGTGTACCATGGTCGGTAGCAACAAGAACAAGCTGCAATTGATGTTGACATTAAAGGTGAATTGGCACGGAAATTAAAACTGAAGTGAATTGAAAAATGTATAATTGATTTTCTATAGAATTGAAAATTAACTAGAACTATGTCGAATTAGAAATTATGTTTGCAGTTTCAGTAAAGGGTATAGCAGGATAAGGGGCGTCAAAGTGCCCTTAGACCGATTTGGACTTGTGATATACTACATGATAGCTTGTCAAGAAAAAGCAGGTTTTGCCAAGTTTCAATCCTCTATCTTGTTCAGGAGTATAGAAATGGGGAAAATTCGGATTGTCGAATGAGCCAGCAACCAAAACTAACGCGTACGCTGCTATGTACCCACTCGAGCAAACTCGGCTTCTGATAAATTTATGTCAACTACTGAAATAAATGTTAAGTCGAATGTTAATGTGGCATTTTCAACAATTCCCAATACCAAGTGATAGGAGGCCTTCTCCCTACGTTACTGTTTCCCCTAGTGGAAGCCGAGTTTGCTCATGAGTGTACGAACGCACAATTATACGCAAAATTCATTATAGTGGCTTCCACAGTTTTTTGTGAATATCTCGGAAACTAGGATTTTCCGTCGATTATACCTAAGGAAAAAATTGTTCAGAATCATGCACTCGACAACATATTCAAAAATCATTGGAATCATCGTAGGTTGCTATATAAAAAACTAGCTGTTAATTCTCATTAAAAAATAAAACAAATGTTAATTGACGATTGATATTTTTTAATCAGCGATTGACAATTAAATTATGTTTCGTTTGGCATTATTTTGATTAGAAAAATCTTGGAATTATGTTAATGAAAGTTTTATGAAGAAAGAAGCCAAAATAAAAAAGTTTCATTACTGTATTAGACGTTACTATTGTTTCATGGCTCACGGATTAATAGATTTTATCTTCTTTCCGATACTTTATCGTCAACTACATCAGCTCTTGGCCGCGAGTGACAAAAAATGAGCCAAAATCACATGAAAAAGCTCAGATCTTAAATTCACGACAAAGAGAATTTTAGTATATTCGTTAATCGAAATCTACAATTTGTAATTCAATTGACGATTAAATGCCGACTTCAATTGTCAATCGCAACTAACGATTAAATACCGATTTCAATCATTAATTGCGAATGATAATTAAAAACTCAATTGTAATTGTTAATTCTTAATTCCATTAAATTTTACCCAACTTTGGCCGTAATAAAAAAAATTAATTTAAATTTACCAAATTGTGTGCGGACCCTCATCTATACTACTTTTTCCCCTAGCGGAAGCCGAGTTTGCTCGTGGGTGTACACCGACGTGCTTCCGCTAGGGGAAAAAGTGACATAAGAGTAGGGCCTTCTACCACTTGATAAATTTATTTCAGGTACTGAAACAAATGTGAAATCGAATGTTAATTTGGCATAAATTTCAGTCATTCCAAATACCAACAGGTAGCAGCATGGTAGGGAGGCCCTTCTTCTACGTCACTTTTTCCCCTAGCGGAAGCCGAGTTTGCTCGTCGGTGTACCCTCGCGAGGTTTTTCTCTTATGCCCCTTTTTTCCTCTAATGGAAGCCAACTTTGTTCGTGGGTGTTACATTGACGTGCAACCTCGGCTTCCGTTAGGGGAAAAAAGTGGCGTAGGAGAAAGGTCTCCTACCATTGGTTCTAGGGGATTACTGAAATTTATGACAAACTAACATTTGGTTTCTTCAGAATTGGCTGGGCCGCGGTATGACGTCATGCGCGCCGAAAAGCCAGCGTCGTCGCGGCGAGCACGCACAGAGTTAGTGGCCATTTCTAGGACCATGACTGAACCATAATATCGTAGTGCCTTCGCTTCATGGCAAGTTCGAAAATACACTTGGCGTCTTTAAGGGATCACTCCCACCACGGGATGTTCTGGACCTCTGTATACGACTGGGTAGTGACCACACGAGCTGCGAGTTCAGAAGTATTTAGAAGACGTAAAGGTTCCTTCGGAGTACTTTCAGAGAGAAAATTGTAAAATCTAGCGAGGGCGACGTAACCGAGTTAATTTTTTATTTAATTATTGTTTATTGTAACTGACGATAGCTGACCACTGAGCTACGAAATTGAAAGCTACATATTCAAAACGAATTAAAGGTTACATTGTTAATTCTGTGGTAATTATTTCGTGAATGGTCTCCTGTACTGAGGAGCGTCTTTCTTTCCGTGATCTGTGAATCCTGGCCGATTAATAGCTATTCAGCATAGACGTCACCCTCTCGGTTTTTAACGGTTTTTCGGTGAATCCTGTGACATCGGGACGACATCATACAGTCGTAAAAAGTTATCAAACTTTAAATTTCGGTTCGGCGGGTATTCTAAAATACCCGTCGGCATTCGTGGGGAGTGCCTGGCGCCCGGTGGTAAGGTTAAAGTTGCGTAAACGCGTACGTACGGAAGGAACCAGGAGGGAGCTTTTTGTCCGCGACGAGTTTCGGCCACACGGCCCTGTTTTTGTGTAACCACACGCGTTCTTTCACTTTCCCATTGGGGATACGAAGAGGTAGTAGCCGTTGAGAGCTACACCTGGGAGTCAGGAGAGGAAGAAACCCAAAATTGGTCACCAGCCGACAAGTGAACCTACAGTGGCGTCCGTTGGGATCGGTGGAAAAAGTACACGGCCACGTGTAGCATAGGCAACGAACGCCCGTCCACCAAACCAATTTGCAACAGCAGCATCCGGTGAACCGTACGCTGAAGAGGTGGACAGCGGATGCAACCGCGGGCGTCAAGGACAGCACGCTTGGCGACGCAATTACCCAGAAGCCGTAATAGACGCCAGCCTTGCGTCCGGCATCCGGCGGCTGTAGCAGGTCCTGCAGCGAGTCGTATCAGGAACAAACACATTTCGAGTGTACCAAGCGGGCAGCACTCTGACGGTGGGTTTCCCCTCAGCGTCAGAACGACGCCATCGTTGAGCGTTGAATAGGCGGCCATCTTAGCCGAAGGCACCACGTGCGTGAAGCGAACTTACTTCACAGCGAGTCAACGCGCGAAGAGCATCACAGCGGACAGCCGTTAGGTATTAGAACCGTTGCAGCGCGTTATAGATTGAGTAGTTAGCCGCCATCTAGCAAGTGTACTAAATATGGCGAGTGACGCGGAAGGTGCAGCTGAAGCCGCGCTGACGGAAACGAGAGGGCAATTGGAACCCCTTAATCAGGCGCGGATAGAATCGTATATCGGGTTCCCAAAATACTGTCATTTTTCCGCAGCGACCTGGAATTGTGGTTCATTCAGGTTGAGTCAACTTTCATCAGCACGCGTATTGTCCATCGCACCACAAAAGCACATTTTGTTATCAAGTCATTTGATGCCGAGGTAGATGCGGTAACAATCGCAAGTTTCCGCGGAGCAAAAAGCGCTCAAACTTATATTGGGCCCATAAAAAGTTCGGGGAAAATTAATGGACTCGCGAGTTAACTCGTTCACTCGCGATTCAATTGAGCAGGTCGAAATAATGTTGTTGAGCACGATCAATCACGCGGCTAATTACGTGGACATTTTTGCCGAGTTTCGCGAGGTCGTAGGTGTAGAGCAGCCGCGTATGGACGGGAAAAGTGACGTCCGCCACCACATAGGAACCGCCGGTTCTCCCGTCACGACATGCCCGAGGCGCTTAGCGCCTGATAAGTTGAAGGCGGGGAAAACTGAATTTAAATGGTTAGTGGAAATGGGGATTTGCAGGTCATCCAATAGCCCTAGGGTCAGCCTCATCCATCTCGTTTTAAAAAAAGGCGGGCAATGGCGAGTCTACGGCGACTATCGCCAACTTAATTCCGTGACGGCGCCGGATAATTTTCCGTTCTCGCATTTGCACCATCGCTTCGCGATATTGCACGGGAAGAAATTTTTACAAAGCTTGATCTGCACAGGGCCTGTTACCAGATTCCCATGACCTCCGAGGATATGCCGAAAACCGCGGACATTACGCCGTTCGGCCTTTTCGACTACCTCGTAATGACGTTGGAACTGTCCAATAAATTTTTATCGGCGCAGCATTCCTCACGCCGCAGTCGCGCAAGCTTCACTGCATGCGTACATCCGTGACTCGCGCAAGTACAATCGGCGAGTGGTCGAGTGAACAGCCGAGGCTAAGGAAGCCATCCTAAGAAAAAAAATGAGCTCGCCGGTGCGACATTGCTGGCTCACCTGTCCGAGAATGCGGAAACCCGCATCGTCAGTGACGCGTCGGATTTTATCATAGACGCCGTGATCGAGCAACATCTCCAAGGTACCAGGAAGCCCCTAGCATTTTTTCTAAAGTTTATCCCGGCGCAAGGTTGATATAGTGCCTATGATCCAGAAGTATCTGCGGTTTATGAGGCGATCAAGTATTTTCGGCATCTCCTCGAGGCTCGGGAATTTAACGTCGTCACGGATTACAATCCGCTACTTCACGCATTTTCATAGCGTTCTGAAAAAGCGTCCCCCTGACAGTCAGCGACAACTGTCTTTTATCTCGCAGTTCACGACGCGAATCGAGCATATCCCGGACGGAAACAACGTGGTGGCGGACTCGGTATTTTGGATAGATGCGCTTCGTTTCCCGGCTCAGACCGAGCTAAACGAGTTTGCGGGGCAGCAGTAAGCTGACGACCAGCTTACGGGTATTCGCGAGCCTCTGGAGTTTTCTATGAAAATGAAACGAATGCAGTGGGGGCCGGTACATACGACCGTGTATTGCAAGATGCCGGGCGAAACGATCCACCTGAATACTCCCGTAACTTTGTGCAAGCAGGTGTTCCATTTGTTTCACGATGCGGCGCACCCCTCCGCGAAAGCGATGGATCGCGTAATCCGTCAACGGTATGTATGGCCGAATATGCACCGCGACATCGCGGCTTGGTGCAGACCTTGTGTCGACTGCCAGCAGTCAAAAATGTCCTGTCATGTAAATTTAAACCCCGCGCACTTCGTGGCGCCCGACAGGAGATTCTATTTTATTGTTGGCCCGCTGCTTGACTGTCAGGAGCACCGATATTGCATGACATTTATAGACCGGTTTTCGCGTCGACCGCAAGCGATACCGGCGAGGAATGTAGAAGCAAAAATGATAGCTGCAGCTTTTTTTGACAACTGCGTTGCCCGGTTTGGACCCTCTCGGACGCTTACGACCGACCAGGGTATCCAGTTCGAAAGCCAGTTATTCGCAGCGTTGCTCAGGTTAGTAGGCTGCGAACGAATTTGTACTACCGCTTATCATCCTGCCGCGAACGGCATGGTTGAGCGGTGGTACCGCAGCTTTAAAACGCGATCATGCGGATCGCGACTGTTGTTGAGACATGCGCACGCATGTCAGATTAGATAACAACGCACTACCGGCGGAGTATGTATGAATATGGAACTGTTCTGCGCGTTCCAGGCGAATTCGTTTTGCCAGACGATTTTACTCCGGATCCTCAAGCATTTCTTGAGGAATTTCGAGAGTATATGCGGCACATAAGGTAGGTTCCAGTGGAACAGAAGGACAAAAAACGTGTGTTTCTTTTTCAACGCACTACATACGTATTTGCATGCTTTCCTCCGAGTCGGAGTGAAAACTGCTCAGTGTTCGAGTGACTCGAGGACCGAGTGCATGAAATAGAGATCGATGGAGTCCCGCGGAATGTATCCACCGAAAGTTTAAAACCGGCCTACTTTCTAGAGGAAGAAAAGACTGACCATGCGTTATCGGAAGGCGCATCGACCGCCGATACGTTGGCGACCCGCGCTTCGGATGTACGCGAGAAAGCGAGTTATGGTCGCATCACATGCCAAAAAGGTAGAAGACTGAAACTAGTTTTAAGAAAAACTATGTTAGGATGTTATTTAGCACATAAGTATGCACACTCATTCCATAGGTTAGGAACATTTAGTTTAGTTTAGTTTAGTTTGGCTCAATTCTCCCGGGAGGAGGGAGTTTCGCTACTCCCACCCAAGGCCCATCTGTGACGTAAAATCAGTAGATATCACACAGCCCTGCAATAGGACTGCGGTGGGCATTACCCGGGGAGCTTGTTTCCCCCAGTTTTCCTTCCCGACCAACTTTTTTAGGCCCGGGCCACATGAAGGAAGGGGAAGTACTCGCGCGGGAGGCTGAGAGTCGCTAGGATCGTCCCATCCCTACCTAATAAAATTAGCTAAAGGAGTATGGTCGTCGGGGCAACCGATCCTTCGTCTCCAAAGTGAATACCAGCTCACTCTTTGCTTCACCCACAGACCGAGTCTGTACCAGGGGTGGTATCATCGTGCTTGTGTACTTTCCATCATCGAGAGAGAGAGAGCTGTATCGCCTATTTCAACCTCTTATCCAGTTACCTGCCTATGTCCCGAAAAATTCAGGATCCCCCCTCCTCTGGTTACCCACTGTCAAAATTACCACCCCCCTTCAAGGACAAGGAGGGAGTCCCGAGACTCCGATAGCGATACATGGGGAGGCCGTTCTAGCCGACCTCAAGGAGAGACGTGGGCGGGTTCGGCGATCACCTCCCCCGGGAGCCGCGATGGACCATAAATGAATCCACCGCCATTTGAGTTTAGTCTAAATCGAAAGCTGGGTTTGTGAGTTTAATAGTGGTGAAAACGAGGTAGAGTAGGTAGCGCCCTCCCCCCACTCTAGAATCGGCAAGGAACGCGACGCGAAACGATAGCCCACCGGACTTTACCGAAATTTCTCCGAAGAGTAAATATCAGCTACATCAGAGACTACCGATCGCGTTCTGGGTTGAATATCGCACCCATCCCTAATGGTTGATGCTCTCACTCTCCGGCGTACCACGGATCGTTGTAGCGTGTGCCAAGCGCCCCGATGACCCGTCGACATGTGTGTTCCAGGGTCATGGTTTTTACCGGCACGCGAAGCCTATTTTCAGTAATGCCATACTATACGTCTGGTGCTTCGTCCGTAATGAACTGCCTTCCAGAATACGATATTCGTGGAGCTCGTTGGGCCGATGTCTCGCAAAGCGATGCTCTTCATCCTTCCGAGACTCAGGTTGCCAGTATACGCTCCGCTGACCGGTATCGCATTCGGGCCCCGTCGCGTAAAGTCTACTCAAATGGCACGACCGGGCCTCCGAAGAGTTATACACCTCCCATAGGAACATTTACTTCGACGTTGTCACTCGGGGGGAGTATATGGGGATTGGCGCCACCAATTTTCCCTAGCGAGTGGAATGGGCGTCATGTGATGCGAGAGTGGATGTCAAGAAGAAGAGAACGTAGGGCGAACGAGCAGAAGATCTGAGTCGCCGATAGAGTGCACACGAGTGTCATTTATACCTAGAAATAAACGGTGTTTTTGTGTAACCACACGTGTTCTTTTACTTTCCTATTGGGAATGCGAAGAGGTGGTAGCTGTTGGGAGCTACACCTGAGAGTCAGGAGAGGAAGAAACCCGACACGTCCCAGTTATGTATCAATTATGTACTTTTGCTAGCGCTCGTGTGTTTACATTTGCGCTTCGATCAATTCGGAGATGGCCCCGAAGGAGTCTCCCCCTTAAGAAGATTGTATGTATATTGTAAATTAAAATATTCTTAAATAACTACTATATATTCGTATTTAGTTACCAATTTAAAAAATTGTGATGAATGTAATAAAGAAAAACTTAATACTGTCTGCGGGGCGCGAACTACATCTAAAAAAAACTTCTCAGCGAATACGCAGTCGGGACGCTTAGTCCCTACACCAACGACGTTTTTGTAATTTCGGTAAATATTTTAATATATGATGGACATAGCACGGTTTCGATTACGTTAATTAGACTTCTACTATTTATACACTGTTTTACTGCAAATGAAAATATTTAAAATCATATAATATACTTACTTTGTAAAGGAAATATAAAAATTCAAAAGAGATGTTACTATTTCACGGAAAGAACGTCGAAAAAAACGTTTCTGATTTTTAAAATTACGGCGCGTATTACCCAAAAATCTCCAAAAAATTGAGGACACTATTTATTATAATATATCACTAGTGTGAAAAGATAAATGTGGTGTCTTTAAAACTTCAATATGAGAAAACATTTTTCAGCTCTTTTTAGCATTTCTGATATTTCACAACTATACTTGGTTCCACCAGAGTACCTGTTTCGCGCATATGACTGAGCTGGGAACCGCCGTGAGCGCCACCACTTCCACTGTACTATTCACTGCATTTATATACACAGTGAAACACTAATATGAATGCATAGCATAAGAGTGTATTTCGTGATTACATGTCGTCAATGATTTAGAAACTATTCACCCGTTATACACGCTTTGAATGGTTCGCTGGCGTTTTACTTTTCGGTAGAGGGTACGCGGCGTGAAAATACAGCCAATTCGAGACAATCTGCGCAGAACGAACGAAAACTCGTCCGATAGCAGGTACAGACTCTGGTGGAACCAAGTATAGGATACTCAACTAAGAAATCGCATAAAATTCTTTAACACGCGCCCCGGCAAATAATATCTATCAGATTTTTTACCAGATTTTTACGTCATTAACCCCTTCGCACCGGTGGACGAGATATCTCGCCATGTGATTTCGTTCATGATATGCTTTCACGAGATCGTCCAAAGCATATCATGAACGAAATCACGTGGCGAGATATCTCGTCCACTGGTGCGAAGGGGTTAAGGAGAAAAAATAGAGAAAAACCCGACAATCAGAATTTTCCCTATTACATACCATCCACCGGATCGAGATAGAAGGTTGAAACTTGGCACAAACTATTTTTCTTGGCATTCTATCGAATGGTATATCACAAGTCCAAATCGGTCTAAGAGCACTTTTGACCCCCTTATCCTGCTGTACCCTTTTAAAGGTATGTACACTAAAAACCAAATAAGACCATAACTGCGAAATGACGAATTTCGGTCTTGTTTGCGCATATTCCTCTCGGTTACCTTAGTTACCGACTTCTTAAACAATTGAACATCATTATGCCTCGTGTAGCATCATACACCGAGTGACTGTGAAGTACAAACGTGCCAATTCATAAGTATTCATGTCTTGAGAAATACTTCATTATGTCACCCGGTGTATGACAAATTCTATCGTCCCTGTTACAGAAAGCGAGAAAATGGGGGAAGCAGGAGTTCGAGAGGCCTCTCCTGCTCATTCGAAATGCGCGAAACAGTTATGCTCTTATTTGGCGTTTAGTATACATACATTGCAGTATACTTTTAGTTAATGCAGAAAAAAAAATTCGACTTTTTCGAAGAAATATATAAAACATTGACATTTAATGTACACTGTTCTCGATCGAAATAAAATTCGTAAGGAAACATAATTTGTTTATGAGTGAATTTTAGATTTTCCTCCATGCTCCGAGAAACAAAGTAATAGGTGCCTATTTATTAAGATTGAAGAGGATTCGAAAACAAAATACATGGATGTAATTTACCTCAAATTTGCTTTTTGCTTCACGATCAAGAATAATCTTCGATCGTAACTCTCCAGTTTTTTGATCTATTGAAAACTCTTCCGTCTCTTGAGTATTGAGATTTCCAACCTTCAAATGATAACTCACGTGTCCATTTTCACCGGGATCTCTATCAATCGCTTTTACTGTTAATATCAAGTAATTTGGTATACCAGCATTCTACGAAGGGGCATTCATCGTTTTTTATTTTGAAATTTAATTTAATAACACTAAATACTTCTCCGTCAATTAATATGTTAAGAGTCATATTATTCATTTACTACGTTATACCACCATTCTCTCAACTTTTTTCTGCTGCACGTGATCGAGCTCAACCTTGCATTAATATACAGGTTGCCTCACGATAAGCGTGTAGTTGCCTTTGTACTTACCTCAGGCACTTCAACAGTAGCATTTGTTAATTCCGGTAAAACAAATTGGGGTTTGTGTTGATTCACTGATGTCACTCGTATGTCAACATAACACTTGTCCGAATGTGGACCACTACCAGCACCATCTCTTGCTTCTACTTCAATTCTGTATGAGCCAGCTCTACCGAGAAGGGCTGCACCAGGATACAAAATACCCGTTTCACGGTTTAATAAAAATGATTCATTCTCGTTCCCACTGGTTATAGTATACCAAACTTCTCCATGTATTCCATCGTCATGATCCACAGCTCTTACCTTATAATAAAAATATTATGTTTTAGTCATTAGCCAGTGTGTATTCTGAAGTAAAATCAGAGTTGGATATCAGTTGATTAAAAAAGTAATTGACTGATTAATCTGTAGTTATCTTGCATCCGTGTATATACAAAATAAATACAAATAATATATAATAAAGGTAAATATTTATAATGAGGGAGCTACGTCCGATTTCGATGATTTGTCAATATGTTGTCAAAATTATCACGAGTAATATTGTGAAAGTTTTAGTTGGGAGTCGCTATTTGTAAAAAAAGTTGTTATGAAAAAAGTTTAGGCAGGTAAATAATTAGTCAGAAGTTTGGCCTTGTCATCGATTTAGAATCAGACTCAGGTACACCACTTCGAGTAAAAACTAGTCTATTATTTTGGAGGAGTTCTAAAAAAAGTTACTTTTTTTATTTACCTATCTAATCAACTCCGATCAGTATAATGCTTCAGAGTTAGCTAGACACAGTTAAAAAATAGTCATTCTGAGATGGTTAGAGACAGTTAAATAAAAGGGTATAATAATTCTCTTGATAACTTTTTAATAAACAACAATTGATAACTGAAACTTTCTGAAGGTCACTCACAAGGGTGATCTTGACAACATATATGAAGGTCAAGATCATCGGTCATTTTACTTATCAATACTACCAAAGAACGATACAAAACTTGTTTTGATAATAACGTTTTTACAAACAGTGATCCCCAATTAAAACCTTCGCAATACTACTCAGAGTGATGGCCTTGACAACATATTCAAAAATCATTCAAATTGGGTGGTTTCCTTATTGTAAATATTTACCATAATATGATATATTTATATAGACTTATTCAGTTAACATATGGGCACATTTCGTATAGAATGACTGTGGTTAATATATCTGAATCAACAAGAGCTAATAATAATAAGAGAAAAGTAGGAGGAAATTGTAAAATTTATTGTAGAACATACACATTATTTAATAATTGCAAACAGCGGATGTTATTTTTATATGGTTTTTCCACTACATAATCGCGCCACTCAGTTCACATAATATAGTTTCTGAGAACAGCGGATACGATTTTGCGTTTCATTGACTGAGTCCTTCCTATTTTGTGATAATGAGTGTTTACGAAAGGAAATAGTCCACGATAAAATGGATTTGGCAGTTCATATTAAGGGGGTTGAAGAATGTCATTAGAAAGAGAAAATACTGTATTATTAAGTAAAAAAATGATCAATAAGTGCGATTTATTACTCAGAAGAGATTATTGTATTTGTTTAATATAAAAGATAAATTATAAATATATAATAAAAAATATAAAGTTATATAAATAAGAAAAAAGATGAAATTTCTAAACTTTATAGTAATATTAAATTACGTTGTTAAAATATACTTACTTGTAAAATTGGTGCAGGTGGATTTACAGGCAAATTTTCAGCTACAGAAGCTCTGTAACTATGTTGTGAAAATATTGGTCGATTGTCATTGACATCTATAAGTTTCACAAGCACTGGAACGGTGGTGCTTCGACGAGCGTTTATATGGGCCCCATCACTAGCCATTACGGTTATTGTAAGTTCAGGTGTTATTTCTCTGTCTAGAACAGCAGCGCTACCAACAGTAATTTCTCCAGTTTCATGGCCTGTAATTGGTACAAATAAATACGTGGAAGAAATTCTCATAAACTAAGAAAATGGGTCATTCCATACCAAATCGAGCACTGTTTGCACTCGAGATCAGGGATTTTTTACAGAATGAAATATGTTGTAGTCTACGCGAAATTGGAGGGGGGGGGGCGGGTATTCATTTTGCTGGTATTGCATGGGTTCAAAACGGAGGTGTCAAACTCATTTCAATCGCGGGCCATGTGTCTAACAAGTAGAATTCACGTAGCTGCACAATACATACGATTATTATATTAATTAGTTATTTCAATTTTTAAATTTCACAGTTTAGCCGAACAATCATAGTGTAGGTCCCGTGCCGGAGTCAAATCGAGGTTGCAGGATCCACGCGTATCGGCGCGAGGCTTTGGCGGGTTCTTGCGTTTCGAACGATGTCGCCTTAGCGCGATTGGAGATAGCTACCGGTCGAGGTTACCGAAGTCGAAGACGCACGTGGCGTGTTTGCATGCGTGTGTGCGTGAGAGAATACGACTGATATAAAAGAGTGTATGTAGGGCCAGAGGGACAGTCTTTCCCGACCCTTCAAGAATATACGACGTACGATTGAAACCGCACTTAGATCATTGCTATCCATTAGAACCTTACAAATCTCAGAATTGGGTCTCATACGCGTTTGTGCGTACGAAGTGTACCTTACGTGCAACCTTAGAGTGACTATTTTAGAACCCTTAGAAGTAACTGCTAAAACTTTTAGAAGTGACTTTTCGGAAGTGATTTTTAAAAGAGTGATTGTGAATTTAGACCCTTAGACCTTTAAAAACTAGTTGTGACGTGTGGAAATTAGTGAAAATGAAATCGGCGATCGACTTAGTCGTCGCAGAATTGCGAGATAGATTACGAGCGATGAATCTGTCATGATCAGGCCTCAACGCAGAAATGATTTTAAAATTAGATCAAGCTGATCTATTAGGTTCTTGGATGAATCGGCCTACCGACGAAGCGGACCAAACATTAGAAACAACGCAATGGGAGGCGTAGCGTCGGGGCCACCCCCGACAGGAGGAAAACTGGTGTATCCACTATTGTCATCATTGCCAGGGCCAGGGGCTATACCGCGCATACCTCGCAAAGAAGATAGGGAATTGCTGCTATTGCACCGAGAGATTTCATACGACAGGAATTAGAAGCGATTCAACGGGAAATCGAACGGTTAAGGAACACAATCTCGCAAAGATAAAACATGAATCATTGGCGTGCAGACTTCAATATCAATGCGATCGCCGATCTGTTAAATGACTTCGATGGAAGCAGCGGCTTGTTCGCGACGTAGGAAAAGCAAGTGCGACTGCTGAAACTAATATACTATTTAGACGACAATTCCGTGAGAATCCTGATCGGCTAAAAACTGGGAGGAAAAGCATTGAACTAGTTTCCTTCTAAACCAGCACATCCTGAGTGTGATGCGGAGGAGCTGCTTTCCGGAATTAAGCGTATGTTTGACCATCGTGAAAATACGGTAGTGCACAAAAGACGATGCGAAGACCGTAAGTGGCGTAGTGGCGAATCTTTCAGTGAATGTTTACATAAAAAAGTTATTCTGAATAACGATGTCTCAATTGTGGAACGAGAAATAGTGGAATATCTTCTTGACGGCTTCACGGATGTGCACTTAAGAAATTAAGCCGTATGCACCAATTCGGAGAGGAGTCAGCGCTGTTAATGGCTTTCGAAAACATAGGGCCCCGAATCAAAAGGCTGACTGGTAATCAACAACCAAACGGTGCGAAGAAAAAATTCACGACAAGAGGGAACCCTACACAGGAAATTAACGAGGTGTTACAACTGCAATGAGACGGGACACTTTTCATGGAATTGTCCCCGGCCGAAGAGGGAAAAGAATAGCTGTTACAGATGTGGAAAATTTGGACACCGAAAACAGGACTGCAAAGAGAATAACAGAGGCCAGATCAATAATCTGTCTGAGCAGCCGGTCGGGGAGGACGAGTTTTTGAAGAATGCGGCATACGAAATCAATTACAGTGACAAACATTACTCATTATATTTAGACATATCGTTAGATTCGGAAAGTGCGATTGGTTTTATCAAGGAGGCTTTCGTACCGAGCGATATTCTGTTAACCGCAAGCGTAAACGATCATCTTTCCGGTATCAGGAGTAGTCGATTAATCATACGCGGGTCGATACTCGCCTGCGTTATTTTCGACAGTAATCGTTACGATATGTTGTTTTATTGATAGTACCTGATGCAACGATGGTGAATTCGGTAGTGCTAGACCGCAATTTTTTACGAAAATGTAATATAACTTTACAATACAAAGACATTAAAAATTTCTTACACTCTGACACAATTTTCAATTCGTACAAAATATAAGTCGTTGCGGGCCACAAAGGTACACGTTGCGCGCCATCAGTTTGATATCCCTGGTTTAAAAAATACTGTCCGCCAAAGTTAGCAATTTTAACCTGTTTTCGTGAAACCGTGATGTACTAATGTAGGGGCGGCCAACTCGTGGACCGTCGGGCAGCATTTTTTCTGCCTGTGAGCGACGAAAATCGAAATCGGCGGGTGCTACGCTAGGCCTTCGTGAGCTTCCCCTGTGGGGCGGGGGACAGAATACGCCCATGGTAATCCCTGCCTGTCGTAAGAGGCGACTAAAAGGGACTGTTGGGATCGCGGGACTGTGGCACCCGCGGTCCGGTGGGGGGGGAGCTCTCGCTTCCCCCACCACAGAGAGGGCGCTCCGCCGTCCACTGGCGGAGCGGGCGCTGGGGAGGTACCGGTTGTGTTCGCAAGAGATCCCGGTGCCTCCCCGCATAGCGCCGAGCCCGTTTTTTTTAAAAAAAAAAAAAAAAAAAAAGGCCTTCGTGTGCAAACCGGCTCGCCTTACAAGACACGCAGTACGTCAGCTCGTGGCCATAGGGTGGGGGAATTGCTCGCGACGTTGTTCGTGGCTTTTGCCGTAGGCGATCGTGAGTGCTTTTCCTCACCATAGCCCAGTTGACTGTCTCTGTGCTAATGAATTTTTATGTCGAAAAATATTTATGTTATTGAGTCCATTCTTCTTTTATTTCAATCTAGAAGATTTGGCCTATTATGTAAACTTTTTCTAAACTGAAAAAATTTTTGCATTATGGAAAATTATAAACAAATCTTTTTTGCAAATTTCAACCAGAGAAAAAAAAATATGTCCATATTCCTTGATATCTGCTATTGAAAATGGATATATTAAAATTAACTCCACAATGAGCTGTTAAAGATAGCGGTGCAACCCGTTCAGGTAAATATGCGAGCCACACGTATATACTATACATAGATCATTCCATACCAAGTGGATCATTTTTGTACACGATATCTGGCATTTTCCTCAAATTGAAATATGTTATACTTTATGCGACAAATAGAGGGGGGGGGGGGCTTAAGTCATCATTTTGGTGATTTTGAAATTGTTTAAAAAATATGGACCTTCAAAGTTGGAAATTTTCTCCGACTTTTATAAAAACTTCTATTACAAAAGAATTTTTATCTCCGCAACTATTAAAGATACGAATTTGTTTGTTTTTACATTTTGATCGCAAAGGTGACACCCTGTACTGTGGACAATAGTAACTCAGTTGTATTGTATTGTAGTCGACGGAATGAGATTACTGATGTTCCTAGAATAAGCATTTTTATTATTCTCCTGTGTCCTAACTCCTTTATTTATGTGCGCACTCTTTCTTTGTAATAATTCTATCTAGAAACATGGATTTGTTTCTTTTTGAATGATGTACAAAAGGAAAGAATTATTGCTCGATGGAAATCACGAGAAGATGGTAGGTCTTATCCATCGGGAAGGGAAAAGAAAGGAAAAGATATAATGATACGGATAGAATTATTCCTAACAATAAAAGTATGTGAACATTATGAGATCGCCTTGGAAGCTGTTCCGTCTACGTCTGTTGAAAGGGTTTTCGCAGAAAGTTGAATATTAGAAATTGGCACAAAGCTATGGTAGCTTCTAGTGCCCTTATTGATTTTGCAGTTTTAAAACAATTCTCTAAAAGTATTGAATGATTTTCCTGTTCTTCCTTAGTGACGAAAATTTTTTTCAATAAGTTTATTTATTGTCGCATCAGTATGTTTGCCATTAGCGACCACTTTAAGTTACAACTGTACACATCAATACTTGTAGGTTTAATGACCTAAATACTTTTTCATACTAACATTATTTGATTAGAAATCTATTGTATTTAATATGTTCATTACATTATATGAATTTCATTTTGCATAACTATATATTATTTAATAAAATATATTTTAAATAACTATATTTTATAACTATGTACTAGTTTGTGATATCATAATTTATAGAATATCTTAATCTCTTTGAGGAATAGAATAAATCTTTCAAGGTAATTGTAATTGTTTAAACATTCTTTTACGGTTTTTGGTAGTCTTACTTCTTGTTTTGAGTCGTAGACCGGGTATTCATGAAGTATATGCTTTACAGATAGTTCTGCGTGGCAGTTTGAACAGGTTGATTTTTCGGATTTATTTATTTTATTTTTTGTCCTAAATTAATGTGTACGGTACGTGTGTTGCAAGCCCTGAATGTTTTCGTTACATTTTTGTTACATTTTCAGAGCTCTACGCCGCCATTTTTTAACACAAAAATTAAAAGAAATTATTTTGGGTAGTAAAAGATATGCATAACAAAGGCCGTAAATCCAATTTTCCATTCACTCTATCGTTTAGCTAAATAAATTCCCAAAGTTACCCTCTGTTTCTAAGTGTTCACAATAGTGTAACTCTGTAACTTCACACACAAAGGTCAAACAGACTCTCTCGCTGGTATAAATGACACCACCGAGACGGGCACGAGACCTATCGATATTGTTTTTAAACCTCATTTAAATAAGTAATATGGGGTGGAAGTAGTACGATCGGCCGACCATAATCGCCGCGCGTGCGGCTCGCTTACCTGAACCAGGGCGCACCGTTGTATTTAACAGCTCATTGCAGAGTTAATTTTAATATCTTCATTTTCAAAGGCAGCTTATTTGGTAGGTAAAATTTCAAGGAATATGGACATACTTTTTTCAAATTTTTTCATCCTTGACCCTCCAGGAGAAATTTGCATAAGAAAAATTTGTTAATAATTTTCCATGTTATAGACATGATTTTGTGGGAGAAGATCCGTGATCGGCAGTGACGTACAATGAATATAATAAACGAGTAGTGTATTATTATAAAATGCAGGATTATGTTAACACGTGACTATTGCGTCGAAGCGAAGCGAACGAACGAGACGCTTACGCGGGAGATGAAAATTAGTGAATTTACACGCTGATAGATGTCACAAGAGAGAAAAAGCGTTAATGTGTGTATCGCCCCGCGAGAGCGTGCCCCCAACGCTAATAGATTTTTCATTTGAAAGAAATTTATTCAAATAGGCTAAATCTTCTAGATCAAAATAAAGGAAGAATTAACCCAATACAGTAAATACTTTCCACGATAAAAATTCACAAATACACCTTGGTTTCACAAAAATAGTTAAAAATTCCAAATTTCGACGGCCTCTATTTTTTAAACAAATGCAATACCATCAAAAATGGTAACTTTAAACCCTCTCCCCCCTCGCCAAGTTTTGTGTGGACTACATCATGCTTCAGTTTGAACAAAATCTCTGACATCGAGTAGAAAAAGTGATCGATTTAGCATGGAATGACCTAAATGTATTTATGGTATTCATTGACAAATAAAAATTACTTTATAGTCATTTAATTTCAAATAAATCTAACAATAACTTTACCTATATTAAAATCAGCCGCATGGTCACCGATGAGACTGTAACTGACTTCTCCAAATGGTCCTTCATCCCCATCTATTGCTTTCACAACAGTAACATGAATCCCTGCCGGTGAATTTTCTTTCACAGATGCATTGTAAAATTCTTTTTCAAATTTAGGATCTTGGTCGTTTACGTTTATTACAGTAACTGTAACTTTTGCTGTTGCTGATAACTGAGGCACTCCAGAATCGTAGGCAAGCACTGTAAACTCCAACTGTTTTGTTTCTTCGTAATTGATTACTTGACTGGTCCGTACAATTCCTGTCAGACATACATATATATGTATATTCTTTAATTAGATTTATAATTATAATCCCAATTATACATATATTATTATGATATGAACGTAGAAAGGTATCTTTGTACTTTCGTGTGTTTTATTGTCTCTGAAGCGAACATTTTGATATACAGTAATGTTTCAATGAGTGCGATAAACTCTAGTCTGCATCGGAGCTTTCATGGCAAAGCGGAAAGATTTTCAGCCTCTTCTAAAGTTTTTTAGTACTAAAAGTTTTTATCGCATTCATCGAGACATCACTGTACCGCGATGTTGCACAACATTGACTTTTTATACATTATTTGTGTTTCTTTTCAACATTCACATAGTTACATTTTTCAGGTTTCGTTCAAATAAAAAATATTTTTAAAATGCTATCGTTTCATTTAAAAAATAAAAGGTAACGTCCATATTTTCGAAAAGAATGCAGATGAAGGAATTATGATTTAGTATACGAAAAGTATATGCTAGGGTGGCTCTTATTCGCTACTTTCGAATTTTTTTTGCGTCAACCCCCAAAATAGTTCCAATTAATACAAAAATAATCTGTACGAAGTTTGAGCTTAATCGAGCAAGAGGAAAAAGAGCAATAAAGACGGTTTCATTCGATTATCCTCTAAAGTTATTGATTATATCTAAAAGCATGTCAGACAAAAGTTGTAGATCTGGGCAAGGAGCATGTTTGATGTTCTATTACTTTTCTTCGTGCGACAAACGGTTTTCGACAAAAATTTTAAAAAGCCAGGAAAAATTGTAAAAACTGCTTGTTTAATTTTGAAAATTGAAATATGTCTTGACCATATTTTATCAATAAAGGCTAAAAAATGTGTATTTTGTATTTTGAACACTAAGTAGTTGTTGAATGTTTTTTAAAATTTAAGAAATTTCTTGAGAACTGAAAAATTTTTGTAACTTATTGCAATGCAAGTTAATAAATACCTAGTGTATAATAAAGAAAAAAAGATAAGAAGAAAAAAAGGTTTAATCGAAAATAAATGGTTTATTCATCTTTAACCTTTAGCACTCCGTAGGCGCCGCTATTGCGCCAGTGCTATCAGTGCACTAACTCCGTAGGCGCCGCTATTGCGCCATATGCTTTCATTGCAGTTAGAAAAACCAGTATAGTTTGCGTTCAATGACTAGCAGATTCTGTGTTCAAAGTTGCTGTGCATTATTTCCTAGTGAATTTTGAATTTTATATTATATTAGATAGATTTACCCTTGAGAAAACATGGAAGAAGGAGATTATTGGGAAAGTTTTGAGATCAGTGAAAACGAAAGTGATAATGAAATTGAAATTGAATTTTTTGTAGACAATTTAGTTGAAAATAATACCGAACAAAGTGAATATACTGATACTGATAGCACTGATGATAGCGACGTAATAGTACGAAAAAAACGGAAAGTATGTGTTATTGAGAGTGATACTGATGACATTGGTAGTCATTCTGAAGAAATAGATGAAGATGATGACAATTGGCAAGATATTACAGAGAGTGATGAAGTTCCAGCAGGCAGAATAGATAAATTTATAACAACAGATCTTTTTTTTTAGTAAAACAAGTTCATTTTTCAGATGCTCCAACGCAAAAATGTCACGGAGTTGCCGCACTCTTGAGTAAAAAAACACTCGGAGTGCTAAGGGTTAACTTTAAGTGTTTACTTACTGGCTTCCAGTCAAAGTCTCGTCTTTATGACCAAGAAACTATCAACAATAATCTTTTACAATTTGGTGGACATAATTAGATTTGAAGCTCTTACGGCCCGGCATCATACAGTTCTCACTAATGAAGTCTTCGGGTGTAAGCCGTGTCCTTGTGGAATTGTGAAAAGCTGCAATGCTTGCGAAACGTTGGGAAAACAATTCCACAAGGACACGGCTTACACTCGAAAGCCTCACCAGTGAGAATTATTTGGTGAACATACTCTTTTTGCTCTTCATTTTTCGTAAATAATTTATTGTAGTCTGCCATTAACTTAACACCCTTCTCTGCCGTATCATTGACAACTCGCAATTTATTAACTAGTTCCAGCCCTTTAATAAAACTTCGGTTTTCAGACCAAGTTGATGGTTCTGTTAGTAGAATATTGTCATCTAACTCGAATCTTCTAGAAAATGCTTTAATTTTGCTGGAACTACAAGTTAGTATAGCTGCAGGACCTAAAGATTACTCAAAAGAATAAAAGTAACGGAAGTACAAAATTAAATTTACGACTGTTTAACCGTATCATAAAGTCGTTAGACTGTATTAAAAATATCAAAAAGTACAATAGGACACATACAACCATTGGATGTCTATGGATTCCGTATTTGGAACAATTTCGCAAAAAAGATTTCAGATTTAATTCATATACGTGGAATAACATAATAAAATTGCAATCATTGATTCATAATTAGTTGTCTCCTCCTAGGTATGAACAAAGGTTTAGGTATGCATGATTTCTATGTGGCTACGTAGACAATATGCCACAAATGTTGGAAAATCTCGTGAAGTTTTCTTTCACAAACTTAAAATTAGTGATGATGTAATTACCTTGAAATGTTCGTGGTATAAAAAACATTTATGCTTTAGTTACTTCTCTGAGGAATACCATTATTGTGAAAATTATATCGAATAATTTACATTAATTGCTTCTTTAGCATTTAGTTTAAAAACAGTACTGAGTGTTTGACAATAAAATCAGCTCTTTTCAGAGCTACTATATATTTACGAACAAGGAATAACTCAAGTACTATGCTCTGCGCATCAAGCGACAAAATTCAAATATAATAACTTTTTTTGTAATGCAAAAATAAAAATTCCTATTTATCCATAGTTTGTGCTCGCATAGTTTATGTAAACAAATTTTCAAGAAAATGTATTAACATTTGACTGGAAAAACTAACAAAAATATGCTATTTTTTAGTAGCAGTAAACAAAAATTACGGGTGCCCGGATATCCATGAGATATCCGAATAATCAGACAGTCGAGAATCGACTGCCGATTCGATATCTTCGACGGTCTCATATATTCGGTTATCTCATGAATACCTGGTTATCTCATGGGTACCTGGGTACCCGGGTATCTGTGAAAGTCACAACACTAGTTTGTTGTAAGTGAATGTGTATAGAGCATATGAAAATCACGTATGCTTTTTAAATGGAATTGCATGTTTCTTATTACATTAGTCAATCACCCTTGCAATTCGAAACAAAAACGTATTAACCAGGGATGTGTTGTAACCTAATTTTTAAATTCTTTTTTAAATTCGTCCGGATGTGTTGTAACCTAATTTTTAAATTCTTTTTTAAATTCGTCCGGATGTGTAAAAGTAACATTCTCAGCAAACTTATTCTAAATTAGAATAAGTTTGCTAATTTCTGTTGTATGATGGCATAACAAACCTGTGATATTGTCTATGTTGAAATAGGGACTTGGAGGTTCTATCGCATATCCTGCAATATTGCTATCTGTGTCTACAGCAGTGAACGCTCCTACCACCGCTCCTGTTGGTTGTTCCTCTTGCATTTCTATTAAATACCGTGGATTTTCTCTTGTCCATGGTTTCAAGAATTCTGGTGCCATGTGATTCACATCAATAATCGTGACTACTAGAGTACCTATGCAACATTAGAGGAAAATATAAAGTATAAATGATATTCACAGACACTGTACAGAATATTTCAATAGATTCGTTTACTAATTACATTGCATATCTTATATATTTTTTGTAGTAGAGGGTGATTCTCTTGCTTCGCAAATCAAAGAAAAAAAAATACAGTTTTCATTTATTTGTTAATTTCAGACTTTATGCAGGGTGATTCTCTCACTGTGCAAATCAAAGCACGTGCCGCTCTAAAGAACCGCTGCGTCGGCACGTGTAATCTTTCGATCGGTCCTCACTGTTAATGACGCCCCGGGGCCACAAACACACACACACACGCCGCACGCACGCACGCACGCGCGACGACAAAGCGGCTCTTTACAGCAGCACGTGCTTTGATTTGCGCAGCGAGAGAATCACCCTGCATAAAGTCTGAAATTAACAAATAAATGAAAACTGTATTTTTTTTTCTTTTACTGTAGAATTCCGATAATCCAGCACATATAGCCTCGACCATGAACCTGTCTTGTAAATGTCATTCGGTAACCATCGGAAACGACATAGATTAAGAAAATTAAATTACGTATGTTACCGTTAACGTATTTCGAGGATAAATTCAAAGGACTTACGATAGAGTTTCTAGGATGCATGAAGCTAAACAGACCTGGTGTCGCATGGTGGCGGGTGACCATGTTGGGTCTTTCAGCTAGGACATACGAAGGTCAACACATTTTTACTCAGAATTTGATACTCTATCGATCTATGGTACAAAAAATAGGTCATTCCGTTAGAAAAATCAAGGTGACCTTGAAATCTCTGAAATACCTCCACCCACAGAAAAAGCGTGTACCTTATAAAATGTGCCCTTTCATGCCATTTAAGTTCCACGGCCATTAAGTTTCCACAATATCAATATAATTATATATATAATTATATTTCATAAACAGCATTACTAAATTAACCACGACCGTTTTTAAAATTATGTTCCTCGTTTTTCTCGCAATACAGGTATAGTCCAATAATAATCCGACAGTGCCGAAATCTCAAGCATGTTAAATTATCGGAATTCCACTGGGCTTGTAATTTAAAATTATCATGAATACAGAAAATAATTTGTATATACAAACATCGAAAGTCTAGTAATAATAAAGGTTATTTGTATTGTTAAACTCCTACTGAAATTGTAGTCAAGATGTTTGTTCAAAATTACTGCCAAAATCAAAGTACATTTTATGGCATTTATCTAAAAGGAAGTTTATATTTATTATTTCATACCTCTTCCTTGTTGTAAAGTGGGTGCTGTTGTGTCACTAACAACGACAGTGATGCTTACTGTTGCTGCAATATCACGATCAAGAGGTCTAACGACCGATGCTTGACCAGTTGCACGATCGATCGCAAAGAAATCCTGTAAACATAAACCTTTATTTGAAGACAACTTATAATAACACTTGTAAAAATGTATTTATGTATTAATACAGTTGTGCAAATAGTGAGTTGTAATTCTACTTTCTTAAATTGGTAAAAAGCGTCAATATTGTTATTTAGATGAAAAGCTGCCAATAGTGAATAAAAATATAAATTAAATTTTGTTCATCTCGGGTGTTATATTTTTATAGTCAAAAAGTAAAGTGTTTGAGTATACCTTGAAGGATTTGCTATCATTGACCTTTTGTCCGTTCCTGTCAATTGCTGTGATAGGTTCAGAAATGGCAAAATTTAATGCTTCCAAATCAGGACTATCAGGGTCTGTAGCTTTTAGTGTCGTAAAAACAGTACCAATGGGGGTGTCTTCTGTGACTTCAGCACGTTGTGTTTCTGGTGTGAAGTATGGAGCCTTGTCATTACTGTTTTCAACATTTATCATTATTGTTGTTGTTCCAGTTAAACTGGGAGTTCCTATGAAAAATTAAATTATATTGATTACACATATATCTCACTCTGCAATTATAAACATTAAGTAAAAACTGACACATTGAACTCCATTGAAGATATTACTGCATTTCCCTCACATTTTAATTGTTAATTACAAGACGCTTCGTGTTAACATGAATAATATATTATTGACTAACACATACGTAAATATTTAATATGAAATTATCATTATCAAACTCTTACTTTGACACATAAATTGTAATTATAAAAATTCGAATATCTAACAAATACAATTTATAATAATTTTATCTTCTTGCATATTATGTACGTACAGGTTACTTTAAAAATATGTAAATTAAATAAAAAATGTTCATATTCCTTATATGTATTTAGACATGCCCAATTGGCGCTCAGGAGCGAGTATTTCCCAGAGATGGGCATTATCTAGATCTAGATAAAAAGTTATTTAACTAACGATTCAAATAAAAGATAATTTACTTTATTCGAAACACTACCGATAAATAATTCTTTCAAAATAAATTTATTCGAAAGTTGAAGATAATTTTTTTATTTGAAGGACCTTTATTCGATGGAAAAGATAATTTTTTTATTCGAAGGAAATTTATTCGTCCGTGAAAAATAATTTTTGTATTCGAACGGAATTTATTCGAACGGAATTTATTAGAACCGTCCAATAAGGTTTTACTCTTTATTCGCACTTTTTCTCGTAGGCTTCGAATAAATCTTGAGAAATCGGATTATTTCTAGGACTGTAGGTAATCAAATAGGAATGTAATATTTCTAACGTAATAGTGCTCAAAATAATCCGATTTATATCGGGATTAGATTCACTTTCATCGGAAAAATCTCAGCAGTATGTTACTGCAACGTTCGTGCCGATCTGATTTAAAAGACGAAAGTATTCCATACTGTTAGTACATAATCTATAATAAGCAACAATATATGACTCTCAAGCTGACGCTCGAGACATCGGCCGCCGTCGCCGAACGGTCGCGTTGCACAGTGGGATATTTGACCCGAAAAGCTGGCCAAAACCCCAAATCTTATCTTTATTCAAAATGAATGAACTTTGTCTCTATGTTCCTAAGAATGAATAAAAGTAAACTGCTATCTTGGTTTGTCGAAAACAGCAGTATTTAGGAATAAATTGAGGCTTAAAAGTCAACAATTTTTATGCTCCAAGAAAATGCCAAGAAACCTATATTAAGAAAGTGATTTATTACAAGTGTAGTGTTAAGAAAATGCAATAACAACATATGTAGGATATAGAGGAAGGTATGTAGAGTAATTTGGCACCTTGTTTCCTTTACTTTTTTGTGTGGTTTTGATAAAATAACAATTTGAAAACAGTTTTTTTTTTTCCTAAAATCAAGTATAAAACATTGAATTACTTTTTTGCACCTTAAAGCACTCCTTTACTTTAGACATATTTTAATCCTTGGACATTACTTTATATAGTTCTCGAAAAATTAGGTGCAAACAGGTGCTAAAACTACAGTTCTGTTCAAAAGTATCGCCTCACTTGTGCACTAGTGAAAAATTATTGAGATTCAATGTTCCATAACTTTGTTAATATTCGTCAGAATTTGTTTAAATGAAAGGCAAATTAAAGCTTGAACCTTCTACTTTTTGACCTATTCGTTCAATTTTATTTAACTCGGTGCTTAAGAGGTAAAATCTGCCCTTATAAAGAGGGCCTTCAAATTGTAAAATTTTGTTCATATTTGAGAACGGATGTTGCTTGTAGACAACAGTGTTCGAAATTTTGCATGTATGTCAGAAATAATGATTCTTTGTCTTCAAAACAAGCCAGCTGGATCCAAAACAGATGTTTTTTAACGAAGTTATGACCATTTATAGAAATGCCTGCCTCCTTATGGTGTCATGTCTTTCGTGTATGGCACCGTTCAATGCTATGCGTTTCTGTAAATGACTATAACTTCGTTAAAAAAGATCCGTTTTGGATGCAGTTTTGCTTGTTATGAAGGATCATACGATAGGCGTATATCGTATGGTTGATCTGATGATGGGGTAATTGAGGTGTGGATAGATCGATGAAGAATAGATATATCATAAAGCATTTTCTGACGAAAATTAATTCTATTATATATTGCAAATAAAAAATATTCTTAAAATATATAATATTTTATATATTATATACCATAAATCAGAATGTTTATGATCGTAGATACACTCGACCCGCGTACATCCATCGCTGTCAGTTGATTGTTAACCTATTGTAAATTTCGTCTGTCAATTTCTGACGATTGAAGTTTTTAGTATGTTATTAACTTTATTAGGACAAGGGTTTGTTGATGACCTTCTATTATACACATCATACCATATATGTATACATATCTTACCGTACACAAAACATTTGAAAAATATAAAAGTTTAAAGGGCTGTATTTTTGTTAAACAAAGATCGTTCTTCGATGACGTTTGCTTTATTTTAAAGACAAACGATTCTATATTCCGGTGGTATATATCAAAATTGCAAAAAATATTGTTTGCACTCTGTAGCACTTGACGAACATCAAGGAAAAGTACAATTTGGCACACTCCTATTTAAGGGTGAATTTTACCCTCTACACCACCATTTTGATAAAATTGATTTAAATAGCCAAAAACTAGAAAGTTCAACCTTTAAAATGGTTTTTATGTCATCAACTTTGGATGAATAATAACAAAGTTATGAGAGTTTGAAGATTGAGTAAATTTTGAAATAGTTTTGTGCCACTTTTCGTGTCAAATATCCCACTGTGCGTGAGTTTGAATACATTCGACGGCTCGAATAGATTTATTTATCCGTAGTGTTTTGTATAAAGATCAATCAAGTTATTTAAAGTTTCAAATAACGGATAAACATAAATTATCTTTCATTCAACTTCATCTAGGTAAACTTTTTCCCATTCCTAGCATCAACTTTCATACATTTTTGCACTAATCTATCGTAGTTATTTTATTATTTAAAACTACCGTTATACATTTGTGGATTTTGCGTACTGAAGGTCACATGAAGGTCACACTGTTAGAGGTTATTGGAATGGTCTTGATCTCAACTATTAAGCCACGTTGATAAAAATATATAGACCCATTTAAAAAAACATCGAAGACCTTGAAATTTCGAAAAATATTACATTCAGAAAAATGATTGCTTATTGCATTATTTGCTACTTCTAACCAAATAATACTTTCCTCTCACATTATATTTGTATCTTCAAAAACAAGTGAGATACTAAAGGTACTCACGTTAAATGGGACTGTATACAGGGTGTACCAAAATAGCTTCGACTCCTGGAAATGAGGGGTTCCTCGGATAATTTGAAACAACTTTTTCCTTAGCGAAAATGTTATCCGAGGCTCTGTTAACCCTTGAAAAATCCCGACCAATCAGAGAGCGAGTCTGCCAGCCGAGTTCCCGCTGTAGCGTTGGCTATCAATCACAGCGCGCTCTGATTGGTCGGGATTTTTCGTTAATATCTAGTTAACAAAGCCTCAGCTAGCATTTTTGCTAAGGAAAAACTTGTTTGAAATCACCTCGCGAGTCTTCCATTTCCGGGTTCTCCAACATTCTTGTTACACCCTATGTTTTACGATTTTTAGATCGATTCTTTGATTTCGATTTTTTAAAAGAATCTATTCTCATGATTCGATTCGACAATTCATTCGAGAATCGATTCTTTGAAGTGAATCGAACATCCCTAGGAGGCAGCGAGAGAGAAAGAGAAAGAATACAATGCTATGTTTATGATGTGTTTCGGATATCGCGCACCTCCCATATCCCCCCCCCCCTGCGCGTCATCCCGCTACGATTTGAGCGTGGCAGCCTAAGCCCCATAAGTGGGGTACCCGTAATACTCGCTTGTGAGTACCAATTCGGCATACTGCCTTATATGTATTAGAAACTAAATTCATACAATTCCATAATTTTATATTTCATACAAATTTATTAAGGAATAACGGAATAATAGGAAATATAGTAATTCTCTTAATTAAAAAAGAGAAATATTATGTACTTAGTCAAAATTATGATAAAAGTTATTACATGTACAATGTTAAAGTATGACATTAAAGCATTATAATATTTGAAATGACAGTAAAGAAATCCAAGACGCCCATTTATATACCTTTATCGAATGCGATCGCTTCCACGTGATATGTGTTTTTATTATCATAATCTAATTTTCTAAACACTGTTACTATGCCTGTTGTTTCATTAATGGTGAAGTCATCGAAAGCACCCTTTTGTATTCTGTAAATCAGTTCTGCATTAACTCCTGTGTCAGCATCAGTTGCTGTTACTTCCTCTACCACCGTTCCTAAAGAAAATACGTAGTGTTAGATATAAAACAATAGTATCTATACATTACGTGTAATACATCAGTAACTATCAATACGGTCATTCCACGCGAAATCGGACACTTTTTGGAGCACCATTACGGATTTTGTTCAAATTTGGACATGTTGTCGTCTTTAGTGATATATCAACGTATCTCGAAGGATTTTTGAAGATTGTTTAAATTAGTGATTCTACAGCTGTCTGAAATTTAGGGTCAACCTTTTTTCAATTAATTATAACTATTGAACTAACCAACTGATCAAGTTTTGTGGGTATTTACAGTGGAGACATTAGAGTACCAAATAAAAATGATTTCAGTTAAAAAAAAAATGATTTTACCCATTTATTTTGCAATTGTTTTAAATAAATGCCCTGTTTTTATACCGGGCAACTATTTAAACTTTTGAAAAAAATGAGGATATAACCCTATTTGTCCTCTTTATGGACATGTCTTCAAAAATATGGACATTTTAAAATTGGCCGTATGAAAATTAATTGATGTGAACGCTGCATCGAATTACATCGGCTCGACCGGCCAAGCCGTGTGGTACTACATAGACTAGCCGGTACGGCTCGACCGGTCGAGTCGATGGGCTTCGACGCAGTGTCAACTTCAATTAATTTTCATTCGGCCAATTTTAAAGTGTCGATATTTTTTGAAGATATGTCCATAAAAAGGACAAATAAGGCTATATCCTCATTTTTTCATTTTTTAAATAGTTCCCCGGTATGAAAACAGGGCATTTATTTAAAACAATTGCAAAATAAATGGTTAAAAAATATTTTTTTTTTAACTGAAATCACTTTTATTTGGTACTCTCATGTCTCCGCTGTAAGTACCCATACCCCCCCCCCCCAAAAAAAAAATCATTTCGATCACTTTGTTAGTTTAATAGTTATGATTTATTGAAAACAGGTTACACCATAAATTTCAAACAGCTGTAAAATTAACAATTTAAAAAATGTTTAAAAATCCGTCGAGGTAAGTTTATATATCGCTGAAGACTACAACATATCTAAAGAGCACAATCCGAAATGGTGCTCCAGAAAGAGTCTGGTTTTGCGTGGAATGACCCAATACCAAATTATTAAAATAATTATAATATTCAGATATCCAGAAACAAACATCACGTTGCAAATACGATCTTACATGTAAGTAGGGGAACATGAGAGAAAAAAATTTGGTCTAGTGTTTCTGTTATTATATGTATTAATGTTCGGTAGTCATGTTAAGTCTACTATAACGGTATACAGGGTGTCCCAAAAATGTCCGCCGACCTGGAAATGGGGCACTCGGGGGGTGAATTGGAACAACTTTTTCCTTAGCAACAATGTAATCTGAGGTTTTGGTTACCGAGATAGGAACGAAAAACCACAACCAATCAGGGCGCGAGTTTGCCAGCCGAGTTCCCGCGTTAACGGTGGCTACGCGCTACGCTTGAAAACTGCGTACAATAGCAAATAAAAAAGACGTAACAAATCAAATCATACTTTTTATCATCTACCGTTTGTTATTTAAAGATATTAATGAATGAAACGTAAATGTAGGCAAATTATGTGTAACGTAAAAAGACGAATGCACATTTACTTTTTTGTGAATTCCTTTTTACAAATTTGCAAATTTCCTTTTCGAATAACGTGTGAACGAAAAGGTAATGTAACAGGGAATGAACGAAAAGTGATCATAGTTCGGTATTGGTATAAAAATTCGTAGTTTAATAACGGTCAACAATGTTACTGATAATGAATAAGTTTCTTCAAAAAGTCCGAAGAAAAAATTAGGTACAGAAACTTGCAGAATTATCGCCGGAAATAAGCCATAGCTTGCGTTAAATTAAAAAAATAATAATCAGCAATAAATTGATTAGAACTCACCCTTTCGGAAATTCACCTGCAGTTTGCAAACCTGTGTCACTAGGTCACTGAACCGATCCTGGTCATCGACGGCCGAAACGGTTTATGGCAGGGTATCGCCCAGTTCGCAGGTGATCGCAGGTATACCTCACCAGCCGAAGTTAAGGGTTGTAACGTCAAGTGCGTCCTGGTTATTCCACCGAATACGTACTCACTTCACTGCACGACCACTAACACTGATCACCCGACACAATCACTTAATGTATTTTTAATCCAACGTGTTGTTCCTACGTTAGGAAAATTCGTGGCCCCGGAAAGGGCCGATTGTTTTCAATGTATCAGATGTTTTACGTAGCCAAACACTTGCACAGCAGCACCCGCATATCCGTTATTCTGTACGTACCACCATAACATTGCGCAATACTTCCGTAAACTGAACATCTCTGTCGCCCGATTGCTAACCGACTGACAGAATTTTTCCGAAAGGGCTTCCTCTACCCAAAAGTAGTTTCCCATCGTTACATTGTGGGTTCACTCCCACCACGACAAGGTTTAGGTACAAAGAAACCAACGGTTCTAGGATAACACGTGCTTTGCAGAAGTGCAAGGAAAGAACCGTCGCGCAGTTTCATCAAGGCGCGTAGCCCGTTAATTTATTGCCAGGGTACCTACTGCTTCCAGATAGGAAACAGACATCACGTGCATCGGCTTGAGAATGTCCGAAATAAAGAGGACCACCACCGTACCCGTTGCTTCGAGTTGGAAAGTACAATGTACATTGTTTCCCTCGAGGAGCAGGGAAAAAATTGTATCGACACGTGTGAGTTGACGCTGCTTGGCCCTGGCCGACTACCCTTGTAGAGGCCGGTGCGGACTTTGCGGTTACTTATGGCTCAATTTCTTCGGCCTCGTGGCAACCGTGAACTCACAACAGAATTGATCATCGCCAATTTTATTACAACTCTGTGAAATTGTAGTTCTCATGAAAATATTTCATACGTATTTTTTTTTTAGTATTCCGTCAAATATCTCGGAAATTATTAGAAATATAAAAACCTTATAATTTGCAATATTGTGTTTGTTTTGATATTGAATGTAGCTATATCATTGAATTCCAGAATAATCCCTTTTTTTAAACAATCTTTCGCCGACTCCTGAGAGTACGCGGTGCAGATAAATTCAAAAAAAATACTACCGTATTCGTTGAACTCTTTTCCGTAAATCATTGACACTTTGATATAGCTTTTAATCTCATTGAAATAGTCTGGAGCGTTAGCGATACGGTTAGCTGACTCTAATAGTGGAGCGCCCGGTTCTTTTACCTGAACCGGGGCGCATCGCTGTCTTCAATAGGTTACTACTACGTTAATATGAACCGCATCACCCTACCGATAGGTTTATTTTACGGAAAAGAATTTAACGAATACGGTTTTCATATTTCTAATAATTTCCGAGATATTTGACGGAATACTAAAAAAAAAATACGTATGAAATATTTTCATGAGAACTACAATTTCACAGAGTTGTAATGAAATTGTCGATTGTCAATTCTGTTGTGAGTTCACGGTTGCTACGAGGCCGAAGATTTTGAGCCATAAATAACCGAAAATTTCGCTCCGGCCTCTACAAGGGTGGTCGGCCAGGGCCAAGCAGCGTCAACTCACACGTGTCGGTAAAATTTTTTCCCTGCTCCTCGAGGGAAACAATGTACATTGTACTTTCCAACTCGAAGCAACGGGTACGGTGGTGGTCCTCTTTATTTCGGACATTCTCAAGCCGATGCACGTGATGTCTGTTTCCTATCTGGAAGCAGTAGGTACCCTGGCAATAAATTAACGGGCTACGCGCCTTGATGAAACTGCGCGACGGTTCTTTCCTTGCACTTCTGCAAAGCACGTGTTATCCTAGAACCGTTGGTTTCTTTGTACCTAAACCTTGTCGTGGTGGGAGTGAACCCACAATGTAACGATGGGAAACTACTTTTGGGTAGAGGAAGCCCTTTCGGAAAAATTCTGTCAGTCGGTTAGCAATCGGGCGACAGAGATGTTCAGTTTACGGAAGTATTGCGCAATGTTATGGTGGTACGTACAGAATAACGGATATGCGGGTGCTGCTGTGCAAGTGTTTGGCTACGTAAAACATCTGATACATTGAAAACAATCGGCCCTTTCCGGGGCCACGAATTTTCCTAACGTAGGAACAACACGTTGGATTAAAAATACATTAAGTGATTGTGTCGGGTGATCAGTGTTAGTGGTCGTGCAGTGAGAGGAGTACGTATTCGGTGGAATAACCGGGACGCACTTGAAGTTACAACCCATAACTTCGGCTGGTGAGGTATACCTGCGATCACCTGCGAACTGGGCGATACCCTGCCATAAACCGTTTCGGCAGTCGATGACCAGGATCGGTTCAGTGACCTGGTGACACAGGTTTGCAAACTGCAGGTCAATTTCCGAAAGGGTGAGTTCTAATCAATTTATTGCTGATTATTATTTTTTTAATTTAACGCAAGCTATGGCTGATTTCCGGCGATAATTGTGCAAGTTTCTGTACCTAATTTTTTCTTCAGACTTTTTGAAGAAACTTATTCATTATCAGTAACATTGTTGACCGTTATTAAACTACGAATTTTTATATCAATACTGAATTACGATCACTTCTCGTTCATTCTCTGTTAAATTACCGTTTCGTTCACACGTTATTTTAAAAGGAAATTTACAAATTCGTAAAAAGGAATTTACAAAAATGTAAATGTGCATTTGTCTTTTTACGTTACACATAATTGGCCTACATTTACGTTCCATTCATTAATGTCTTTAAATAACAAACGACAGATGATAAAAAGTATAATTGTATTTGTTATGTCTTTTTAATTGCTATTGTACGCAGTTTCCTGCGTTGCATGCTGACCTACTTGTTTGGAGCTTCGTAGTACAAGCGTAGCGCGTAGCCACCGCTACCGCGGGAACTCGGCTGGCAAACTCGCGCTCTGATTGGTTGCGGTTTTTCGTTGATATCTCGGTAAGGAAGCCTCAGATTACATTGTTGCTAAGGAAAAAGTTGTTCCAATTCACCCCCCGACTGCCCCATTTCCGGGTCGGAGGACATTTTTGGGACACCCTG